TCCATTACGGAGCCCAAAATATTTGATTGGCATTGTACCGTAAAGTGCTATAATTCTGCGCTTCTAAGGCCTAATTCCACGCAGTTTTAAAAATTCATAAAATAATTATAAATTGTACATAGTTGAATTGAATTGTACATTAAGGTAGGTATTATTATTAGCCCCGTAACGTTAGTAGAACAGTTTTTCGTGGTACGTTACGCAGAAGATCTACAACCGATTCCTAGTCCTGACTACTTCAAACTAGGGGAACAGGATTTTTCAGTAATCAAACCCAAGTAACAATTTTGGTTTTATGAGGGTTCTGTAGACCATGATTTGGACTTGTAGAATGCTTTAAAACCACTATAAAACTTGCAATGTTACTTGGGAAGTAACACATCTTAGTCCTTGTTACTTTTTATGCCTTGTTGATAGTGACAAGAGTCGGCGTTGTCTACCGAGGATGATCTTGAAACAAGGAAAGCATAAGTTAGTTAGTATTCATCTATGTGATTCCTAATATTCTATTCTGCTGTTCACTAGATTGAAGTAGTTAAGACTAGGGTTCTGATGCATGATCATTATCGGTGTCATTGCTTAATTTTGTTGCTAAGGAATCCAATTTTGACCGATAAAGGGGCGCGCCTTTGGAGGGTGCTCTCACTCTTCGAAGGGTATGAATAGCGGGAACTTTTAATTTAGAATCGATTCCTTGCGATAAAGGCAAGAATGACAACTGTATCAAAACCGAATACTTCATCATTTCTCAATAGTGATGAAGTAATACGACATGCACCAAACTAAGGACCCGGGATATACTGCAATAGATCAAATTACTGGTCGCAGTAATGTCCCGAACAGAGGAAAAAATGTAGGTGTTGGTATGAGAAAATTATAAATTTAGATATTTATAGTAGCAGTATTATTTTGGCGTAATGCGCGGAATTAGGTTCTGCACAGTATTGTGGCACTTTTCGATACTATGCGGATGTTTGAAAAATATTGTACTTCATATTCGCATTCGCATTGATGAGAGAAGTTCTGGCATTGAGAATTTGTCGCCCCTTCATGTCTAACACTGTTCTTAGTTCATATGATACAGCGAGTGGAATGTGAAACTTGCTATTTCGTTGAAAATCTAGTGAATTTAAATAAACTACACATTGTCACATTTTCACACCTCTTGCCCTTGACATGGGGCCAATGAATATTTCAGGCATAACATTTGATAACGGCACAACAAAAGCATTTGTAAACCAACTTTCTAAGGCCCTTTACACGCGAACCAAATTACGCCCACGCAAACCAACAACATCATCGGATAGGGGCAACTGTTACCTTTCCAAAAGTGGTATTGGTTTGCGTGGGCGTATTTTGGTTCGCGTGTAAAGGGCCTTAGAAAGTTTGTTTTCAAATGCTTTTGTGCCGTTATCCAATGTTATGCCTGATTTGATGACCCTGAGCTAAAGAAATAGCCTTACCGAAATTCCAAATTGAACTAGGTTTAAGGGATTCGATGATCCGCTGAAAAGATTCGGATCACCTATATAAATGAACCGTTTACCTAAGTGATCCGTTTTGCAACGAATAACTTCCGTAATAACTAATCGTAATTTCAAGGAAACATCTTTGCCCGCCCTCATGGGAATCAGAAATCTCACGCAGTTAATGAGAAACGATTTGGGCCCTCGTATTACTTCGTTCAAGCAGTTCTTTCCTTTATTTAACGTCGGTCTCTGTTCCACAATTTAGTGACAATCACCGACGGACATCGATTGCCATCCATTGACGGCAATCGAATGTGCAGGAAGGCAGCTTCCACACATGCGTAGGATCTCGCATCCATTCAAACACACATGTGCCGGGACTAACGGCTTCACTTCCCTTCCGAAGGAAGACGTGACCAGAAATCGATCAAGCAGTTGTACTGACGATCTCAAAATGTGCGGCTGCACTCAAGTACCTCGACCTGCACGATTATACTTCTATGAAGCAATGAGATCGACATAAACAAGATGACATCGTTCTCTCATAGTTCGATCCGTGCCTTATTGATTCTAAATTGAGATTCAACGAATGCTTATGATCAGTGCTCACTCGGCTGTCGACTGGAGCAGGCCACTCTCGATGTGTGTCACGCGATCGTCTGTTTACTCGGTGGCAACCATTGTGTGGTCCTCCTCATTGTTCTTCATCAGTAGTTCTTTCGGTCGATGCGTCGTCGACTTTGGAAAGCAACCGTTTCGTGATGAGTGTGTGAGTGATGACCAAGTTTTGCATCCATTGCTGCAATGGAAGTGCTCTGCCACCCGTTGGCTGTACTGCCATACATTGAAACCACTGGATGCGGATCCCGTTCTGATGGATGAGGCTTATTGGATAGCGGAAGATTAAGTGTTTATTGTGTTGTAATTTTTGACTATAGTTTTACGATGTTTTGTATAGTGAACAAGAATCCTCGGCTCTGTCAAGTTTATTCGAATAAGCCTTATCAAATAAATTAATAAACAGAATGCTTGTGATGGCTAAAGAAAGCCTTTACGGTACTCAGATTCATTCGACGATACATCTGGTAGTTCACAGATATCTGCGCACTAAAAAAATAGATTGTACTTTGGTCCGATAGATTCGGAAGCCTTTCATTCGAATATGCGACCTTCTTCTGGCCACCTTGTCGCTGATCATCAGCGTCGAGCGAATTCAGAAGCTTTTCATTCGATTCGTGCTACTTGCTTTACTTTTGTTTCACTAGGTTCATGGCTACACTTCACTGCGTCTTGTACTGGCTGGATTCAAGCGAGGGGTACGACACATCTAAATTTCATTTTTAGTTCGTCGACAAATCTGATGCCAGCATCTTTTGCATCTTAACACATCTACTCGCATCGAGGAAATCTTCAAAATCATCATCAATCGTATTCCAATCTATTAAGCGTGAGTCCATCTCACAAAAGCAAAGCAAACATTTTCCTGCATATTAGATAGAGTCACCTCCCTCGAATTCACCATTTTTGCTTGATTGTTGTTCGGCATTCTTACAACGTGTCCTGCCCATGGTACCCTTCCAGCTTTAGCGACTATTTGGTACTGGACTCGCCAAAGAGTTGAACCAGCTCGTGCTTCATTTTTCTCGTCCGTACGCCGTTTTCTTAGTTGGTCCTAAGCAAACGTCGTTCGAAAACTCCCAGTGATTGCAGGTCCTCCTCGATCACCGTCCATGTCTCGTGCCTGTAGAGAACTACCGCTGTTATCCGCGTCTTGTACATGGTACACTTAGTACGGGGGTGAAATTTTCCAGACCTCAAGGTCTTGTGAAGTCCGTAGTTAGCACGACTTCTTCAGATTGTTATCCGACTCTGCTTCAGTTGTTATCCGACGTTACACAAATGTATCCACCACCTTGGACTCATCTTCGTCGGGTATGACACTTCTGCCTATGTGAGCTCTATCGCGCTCGTTTTCTCCAACTAACAGATACTTAGTCTTTGACGTATTCAACTTTAATCCAACCTTTTCTGATTCACGTTTGAGCCTGGTGTATGTAATTATTCTTGAATCTGCCAGATGGCACCGCTCGCACCTTCTACAGAGTATTCTTTGAGGTATACTTACCTCCCGCACAAAAAGTTATGGTTACATCAATCCCTTACGATTTAATCGCACTTAAAATATCAAAGTAACACCCATTTGGAATATTTATAATCGAATCTTTGGGTTTTAACAAACATAGCTAGTAAATTTGATTGAAAATATTTTCAACATTGGACTACGCAATGAAATTTCCGTGGCATTGGGCGCTGCGTGGAACAGGAGTCACGATACATCATCCAAAGAGCCATTCTTACCACAAAACCTGTAAAACTAAGTTAGATTATTAGTTATTTCTAAAAATAAGAATAGTAATGATAAGTGACTGATTGTGCGAAAAATAGAAACTAATATGTACAAATGAAATAAAACTAAAAAAAAAAGTACAGTAAAACCACCAGTTGTTGCTTCGAAAATGAAAAAAAAAATTAAAACACGAAAAGTGCATAATGTTTTACGACAAAAGTATTGTATGTATGTGAATATATTGAAATTAGCTTAATTAGTCAATTGAACTTAAAAAGTTATCGATATTTACAATTAAAACGGAAAACGAACGAAATTGAAAGTACTGCTTTTCACAAGAGACAACTATCAATCCACTATTCAAGAACGGTATACGAAACGATGATGGACTTGGAAGGAACGGAACATGGTGTATCTCGATTATGGCGATACATATGATGTAGGTATGTGAGAAAAAGCGAACGAGCGAGCGAGCGAACGAAGGAACGAGCGAGATATAAGTGTGTACTAATATGAGTTGTTGTTGTATGAGAAACTGATCCGTTGTTGCTATTGTTGGAAAACTAAAATCAGTATGGAACAAAAACAATACGAGGCTCGCTCTCGCCCAAATTCGTCAACGAATCCACTCACACACGCACACAACAATCGCTTATTTAAGATGTTCAAAAAATCGGGAAACATGATACTTTTCTTTTCTTTTTGAAAACTTGACAAGTGAGGAAGGTTTTCTTATGATCAAAATTATAAAACTTGACAATTGCACTGGGGGTTTTTTTTTTTTGTAAAACAATGTTTCTAAAATCAAACGCAACATGACTCTAAATTGTGTGATCCCTGACGAGCTACTAGCGAGCTAATAAGGCACTCTGTGGTTTTATGTATTTTCTTCTCATTAAAATTTTAGCTTCTTCGAACAATGTCATAAATCAATTTTATCATTCTAGTATTCATGTGAAGCGGTTCCAGTTTGATGCTTTCAAATTGGAACCACTTCGGTCACTCTGGTCCCTACGAAATTTAGTACCCTATCGACGCTAATCGCAATTTCGGCACTTCCAAACATCCATAAACCAATCAATTCTATGCTAGCCTTCCGTGACAGGTCCGGTGCGATCCAATTTATGAACATTCGAAAGAGTCTAAAGTTTTAACGCATAGTTCAAATCAGTTTGTCAGTTTACGTGAGAGTGTTTCGAAGCTGGTCTGCGACTGAGTCGGACTTGGAGGCCTTGGCGGCGAAGTATTCCATGGTGTTTCTATAAAAAGAAAGAAAAAAGAGAGAAAAACAATAACAGAAAATCTTTTTGGCAACTTTTTTTTCTTCTTCTTGTCGGCACCACTTCTCATGAGCGTTTCATGAGCGACTTAAAGGGAAAGAAATTCAAAAATCAAATCCAACACATTTTCCAAAGTCGATAGAAAACAGGAACGCAGAAAGAAAAAAAAAGAAGAAAACTCACACGACGGCAGAAAACAAAACAGGTCAACCGAGAACAGAAGGAAGAGAGGCGGAGAGAAGTTGGGAGAAATGCAAGACGAAGATATAGGTAGTATTGCTTAGTGTTGTAAAGGTTTCCTGTAACAAGAAAGGAACTACGAGGGTTGCAAATAATGTATGTATGAATGACGAAAATCGTAGCACTCGATGGAATAAACAGACGTTGTCCAATTCATACTTATGTACTTGTAGATCAGTGTTGCCAAACCCTAGGAACAAACAAACGCAATGGTTTGTTGATTTTACAACCGTTTTGTCAGTTCAACAATTAATGAAATAATCGTACAACATTATTAAATCAATAATAATATATGGTAATCATACAAATTTCAGTGGGAAATTTGAATGATGTTTAACTAAATGGATAGTTTCAAGCCTTATTTGCATCAAAATTGACAAACCAATTGAATATTAAAAGTAAACTTTTGAACCTTACAGGGCTGGTAGCAATCACTGCTGTCAAAAATAGTTGATGATGATGATGATGATGATGATGGTCCCACCTCTTACCCCTACAAAGGTTTGAGCTGGACGATTTATCTTTAAGATAATTGAATATGACATTTTAACCAGGTTGGCAAACAAAATCGAACTGGTTTCAGTTACAGATATAAATTCCCTCTAGAGTTTACAGTTGCTTCACAGCGATATAAATGTGGAAAAGCTCAGGCGTCCACCTCTTAGTTCGCCTTTTTGTCCACCTAAAATATTCATAAGTATTACAAGCAATCAAGAGTTAATGAACAATCAACAAAGCATCCTATTACACTAGTAACCCCGCAATCTGATGCTATCATAATTTTCAGCAATGTCAGGAATGCTCACGAACCCCCAACATTTGCCAGAAAAACTTACTACTAACTCAAGGTATCTTCCAAATAAGCTTCAAAATTGCATTTTTTTTATCAAATGTTAAATTCAGTCCTCTCTATCCGTAATACGCGCGCGAGGCTCAAACCTTTGTAGATTACTATTTTTTTACTACTACTATTAAATCAAATATCAAAAATCCATCATCACCATCATGGCGAACAAAATAGTTTTTGCAGTGCTACAATAATTATTAAAAAGTCGTTATGACAGCTATCCATATAAAATAATCCGTTAGAGATAACTTCGTCAAGATACATAATTTGTCAATTCATAAAAAAAATCACTGGATAACTGTTCAAAAGACAGTTTTAACGTGTGAAATGCAGTGTCTTTTAAATTCTGTAAGTGTTGCTGAACGTTTGATATGTCTAGGCATCGAATTGAAAACATTTATTCCTTTATAATATAATGAATTTTGTGAAGCATAAGTCAAGAAATGTGGTGTTCTTATTTCAACCGCGTTTCTAGTATTATATCTAGGAAAGTCACTTCCTCTTTCAATACGATCACACAAATACAGGGCTGTTACAAGATTTTCTAAATATGATCCGCGAAATCCGCGATTTCTCAAAAGAAATCCGCGACTTCAAATACTAATCCGCGACAAAAAAAAAACTGTTTTCATTGACTAAAAATAGCATTTGCATACTACTACATGGCATTTCAAGCTTATTGCTAATAGCATATTAGATTTTTGCCTGCTCTCAACTTTGAAGTACTTTCACATTTTAATTGAGAGCTTCCTATGCCTGTACCTAGAAAGTAGAGAAATTTTCCAACTCGAAAAATTAATAGACCGGACGGGAATCAGTCGCCTCCAGCATGGACTTGCTTTGTAGCTGCGCCTTTACCGACTGAGCTAAAGGAGTATCGTTTGTAACCTTTAAAATTAAAAAAAAAATAAAAAAAAAAAAAATATCTTCAGTTATTTATGTATAGTATAAATTCATAGTAATTAATGAACATAATAAAACACCCTTACATTATGAGATTCTATTGAATAATACCGGCCAAGATTTAAAAAATAAATAATTCATTTTCATTTGAAATGCAATTTTTTTTGAAAATTTACCTTTGCGTCTCTGACGTATTTTTCTGTCCTAAATATTGCAGTTAATTTGGCTCTAGTTTTCTCACTTTTTACCGATTCAAACCAAACATCCTGCACATAATCGAGAAATTACCAGAGTTTCATAAGTCACACTTGTTGGTCACGAAATTATAGGTTTTCCAAATCGTCCAGCCACGGAGAACAAATTCGTTAAGTTAAGATAACAATCCTAATAGTAACTTTCACATGGAAAAATATTGTTGTTTGAAAGAAACCTATAGTTATTCCAACATTAATTTGACCCTCAACTCAATCATATCTACCTTATAGATTTAACTGTTCATCTTATACTCAATTCAACTATAACTTTGATCAATTATAACAACCGTCAAATGTAGTTTAGTTATATAATTTGGTTTCAAGTGATTATCATAAATCCACATACTTTTAACTTGTGATGCGCAGAGCAGGCGATAAAATAGCTGGCTCTCACGCAGATGAACACGGTTCAAATTTAGTTGAATGTTCTTGTTCACCTTTTTTATGATTTTGCAGTTGTGTTTTTGAGATCGATAAAGAAGTAAAACAAACTTCCTTAATATGTCGATAATGAAGAGCAGTTCGTTTAATAAACATTGTAAAATTTAGCTTCCCTAACAATAGTTTTCTTGAATCAACTAAAGCATAGTTGTATTTTGAAGTTTGACGTTTGTTCTTCTATTGAAAAATATAGTTGAGCCAACCGAGGAGCCAACTATGGACTATAGTTGTTGCCCTCTATATATAGTCAAATCAACTATAGTTTCGGGTTATCTCTAAAACAATTGAACAATATAAGGCATTTTACGAGACGTTTCGAGCCAGCTGTTTTTTTTCTGTTTACCTATTTTGACGTTTACCAGCGGGCCGATTTGTTGACATACCACGACCAAAATCAAAACAAAAACATCAGACGTAAACAATAACAATGCCTCGAGCGCGTTCGAGTGGCCCGCCAGGAACTGTCATCAAGACGTCACGTAAAATAGCTTATTGTTATTTTGACCGGAAAAATAATTGCGTCTGCTATAGTTTGTTCTCCGTGAGGACATCAGTTGATTTGTTCTACTAGATCAACCAAGACTGCAATAATGTCTGTAATATCGAAAAATTTCCAATCAGATTCAAAGTGTCTATGTGGATCATGCATGATCTATTTCCGAGTAATCCAGATGTTCAAGGTTCTTCAAATCGTCCTGGAGTGCAGATAAGTTTATCTACTAGATCAACCGAGATTAGGACAATGTCTCTAGTATCGAAAGATTTCCAGACAGATGCACAGTGTCTATGTGGATCATGCATGAACTATTGTCATGTATAGCAGATGTTTTAAGTTCTCCAAATTGTTCTGGAGTTCAGATGATTTATTCTACAAGATCAACCATGACTGGGATAAAGTCTGTAGTATCGTGATATGTCCAAACAGCTTCATGGTGTCTATACAGATAATGTTAAATTATTTCCACGTATACCAGATGATCTAGGTTCTCCAATTCGTCCAGCAGTTCAGATGATTGGTTTTACTAAATAAACAAAGACTAGGATAATATCTGTGTTACCGAAATATCGACTTGGAAATCCTAGAACATTTGGCATACACGGAAATAGATTGGCATAATCGACATAGACACTGCAAATTTGTTTGGGCATATTTCGATACTACAGATATTGAATAAGTGATCTAATAGAAAAATAATCTGATCTCCAGAATGATTTCAGATCATCTTGCATAAGTAGCAATAGGTCGGGTACAATCCACATAGACACTTTGAATCTGTTTGGACATATTTCGATACTACAGACACTATTGGAGTCTTGGTTGATATAGTAGAACAAATCACCTGAACTCCAGGACGATTTGGAGAACCTAGAATATCCGGTATACATGCAAAAATTACTCCCATATATACGATTCGTTTATGATTTGACAACGAAAAATACTATGTTCATATTGAAAAAAAAGGAAAATGTCTCACATTGGACAGACCTCAGGAGATTTCCGTGTAAATCCGGTGTGACTTATGGAATTGAGATCATTTCTCGATTATTTGCAGCGTGTTTGGTTCGAAACGGTTAAAAATTGAGAGCCAAATGAACAAACATGATGACAGCAAAATAATCCAGGACGGAAAGGTTACAATGAATTCCACATTTTTTGTGACAGCACATCAGTCACTTCGCGATTTTCGCGACATCATTTAATGTTTCCGCGATTTTCGCGACTGAAAGTTCAAATCCGCGACAAATCCGCGAAAATCGCGAAATCCGCGAAATTCGCGAAATCCGCGCCTGTTGTAACAGCCCTGCAAATATCGAGGCAGCAAACCGTTAACTACTTTAAAAATGAACACCATAGTCAAATATACAATTCTTTGCTTCACCGACAACCATTGTAAGGCGTCTAGCATCAAAGTTGAGGAAGTGAATCTATTACATCTCAAAATCAAACGCATTATTTTATTCTGCAAGCGCTGTAATCTCGATATTTGTGTTGCATTGGACAGAAATAAAATGGATGTGCAAAAGTCTAGATGAGGAGAGATGATTGATTTGTATATCTGTATTTTACTGGCAATAGTTAAATCGTTTTTCAAGCGACATAGAATTCCATACTTCTTGGCAATTTTCTTGATGACATTGTCAATGTGAGAGTTGAACTTAAGTTTGTCATCAATAATCACGCCAAGATATTTAATCTCCTGAACGCGATCAATAGTCTCATCATCAATTACAACAGAGACGTTCTCATTTAATCGATTCCGCGAAATTACCATAAATTTAGTTTTACTTGTATT